ATAACTATATGAAAACTGCCGAAAAACGTGCAGAAAAGATAATAATACAATAATGAGCATTTAACTAGGTGCGATTTGACAATAATACAATAATGCTAAATGACCGAACTATTCTTCAACAAATGTCAATCGATTTTCTGCGAGCAACAGGTTAAAATAAAACGAAATAAATCACTTTTTCCTGTCTTGAAATTGAACCCAAAATTGGTGCTCAGAACGATAAGTTGGGGAATTAAGACAAAGGTGGGTCCACGACGAAATTATATGAAACACCCAAAGCGAATCACTTCTTTCTCTTAATATTTATTGACTGGTATAATAAATATATAAAATAATTTGTTAGTGCATGCAAACTTTATTTGTGTTAAATTATTGGCTAGAATGCTCACTATCTACCGATTTTACACGAATGCAAAAAGTTGAAAGATGAGCCGAAATGATTTAGAAAACGCATCAGATTAACTTTCAACCTGTATTGCCGATTCAGTGCGCTCAGCAACTTCCCTCTTTGGCTCCTTGTACATACATATTTAGATTTTCTGTTGGGCATTTGGTTTTGGCTTTTGGCTGCTGTGTATTTTTGACCCAAGCGGACGTTTATATTGGATACACTTGTTTAATTGCTTCTGCATATATTACCGAAAACAAACCAAAAAAAAACCACCATTTTAAAAAGATTTATTACCACTCCCCCCCGCGCACTCTTTACACTTGAAGAAACCTATCCCTGAACGAACATACTCGTATACAGTACTTTAAGGATTGGCAGAACACTAAAAAATATAATAAATAAAAAGGAAAACATTTTTAATATACACATGTATTAGTAAGAAAGTACCGCATAATTCGTTTATTACAAAATTTAGAAATCGTAAATGGTGTCTTAATTATTTTTATGGAATTCCTCCATGCATAGTTTGCAGCTCCAAGAACCCTCCGGTGGAGTAACGAGCGGTGGTGATAAGCAATACATATGGTAACCACGGTCACAATCATCACAAAATAATAGTTGGTCGTCATTGTCAGAGGTCCCACAGATGGAGCAGTATTTGCATTCAATACATTGCCAACGATAACGTTTCACTGATATTATCATATTTGCTGTGAATTGCAGACACGATGGATGACCGGAGCGACCACAGTCTGAGCACGAAACTAGTTCTTCGGGCAGATTGGTTTTTTTGTTTTCCTGTTGATCTCCCAGGCAAAAGTCACAGTAAGGAGAGGGTTGTGCTATATCGCGATCTACATCTTGTTTTACCTTATTAGCATTAGCTGTTGCAGTAAACGCAGGGGTGTTTGATGCGGCTTGTACCGTTGAGGTATTGCAGATAGAAGTTGCAACTAAGTCCATATGTATACCAACCATGGTCGCTAAAGAAATAGAATCATTGGAAGCTCCAGTGTCGTTTGAAGTCTTTTCGTACGATGAAGCTGTTGGCATTATCAGAACTGTTTGCGAGTTGTCGTCATTTGTAGGAATGGGCGAAGCCGAGTTTGAGTTAGATGCGTGGAGTCCTGTGGCGACAGCTGCTGTACTAGCTGCGTGTGCGACGGCTGCAGCAGCTGCAGCGGCGGCTGCAGACGTATTTGCACTATTTCCACCACCTCGACGTCTACGATCTACTTCTCCATCAACAGCATTTTTACGACGATTGCCTAAAATTGTTATAATCTGTGTATTTCTGTAATTCATCGGGTCAATGCTTACAACCACCTTTGCGACCACGTCTAGGAGTGCCCTCCATGCTTGCATTTGTTCTTCGAAGACGCGACCCTTTTTTTCGTTTTCCTCTGCTGCTGTATGACTCATCAAAATCGTTATCCGAGTCAAAATCGTCCTCATAATCATCGCCGTGATGATAATGTGATGGGTCAATTTCATCGTGAAACCATTCCTTCTCGGCGTTTGCATGTGAGTCTTTACTATCATTGTCTCCAGAGGTCCCTATAGAGTTTCCATCCGTAGATATAATGGCTGTGAAAGTGTATATCAAATAAAGTGGATGGTAATACAACAAAACGAAACATACAAAAAAAAAAAATGAAGATCTGCTATGGTGATCCGAACCTATCAACCACAAAAAGTTTCAACTACGGATGTTTTTTTTTACATTTAAAACGCAATACAATTGTTTGTTTATTTAAGAGCATTTTTACCTGCGCTTTCAGGAATATGGAGATCTCGTGTGGCAGCAACGCCAGGCGAAGGAATATGGTGGTGATTTTGATAAGGTTGATGCTGGTAGTGCTGAAGATTGTTTTCGCGATATTGGTAAGCTCGGTAGCTCTGATTCGGGTTAAGTAAATACTGACGTTTAGGTTTGCGCCAGCGAGTCGATGGATAAGTGTATATCTGGCCATGTCGAAATCCTGGCATCCGCTGTTTTCTTTTCATAAAAAGGGAACAATGTGTTTGTGCGACCCCTGTCTGAGGATCTAGGAATGGCATGCGAAGACGGCGTTCAATGCACAGACGAGTGTTAAAATTTTCACTGTTTTCAAGTATTTCCTTGTACTTCTCCTTATCATTTAAAAAATGTTGAATCTTTTCAAAATTTCCTATGTTTACAATTAATGTTTTTCCGAATTCTGATTCAGACGACATATTGTGGCTTTGACGTTGAATCTGAAATAATTTAATTGAGAGAATCCAAATCAAATGTAATAATAATCTCCCAAGCAAATAAAGAATTTACTTTCACAAACAACTTTGGATAATACAAATAACGATTTTGTATATTAATAGCACGCACATAACAAAGAAACACAGACGAAATAAAAATGATGTGAACGCCTTTTATGCAAGTATGCCCTATTTGAACACTCTTTATTTTTTTAGTATTTCCGCCAAAATAGCGGCATTCTTTTCTACTACTGCTATCAATCTCGTTACTTAATAGCCTATTCCCAATATGTAGAACGGACATCTCTTGCTTTTTTCTGGATTATCTTCTTGCACTGGAATTCACTAATTATAATTTTTCTTTGCAATTTAGAATTTATTTTGCAGTAGATCATTGGAGGATCAATAATACCAAAAAAAAATTTTTACTTTCTTTCTTAGTGCACACCTGCAAATCATCACAAAAGCGTCACAAAATATGTGGAAATGTTCTGCGGTACGAGACGAAAATAAATATCAGCTTTCGCTTCTTATACTCGTTACTTTTAGAGTACCTTGTGTTGCAGGTATAACATTTTAATCAAGATCAAAATGCGAGACGATTTAGATGACCTTTGCCTATATAAACTATGTTAGAATTTGGCAACTATAATGGATACAATGGATAGACCTTTTAACCAGGTCTAATCGAATGGCCCCTAAACGCTGAAAGTTAGAAAGTTTCCATCTAGCCATGCCCACCCTAACGCCCACAAAACCCGAAAACCCAAAAATGCAAAAATCTCGGGAACTAAAGGAGGAAGAAAGTTAGGCTTAAGATTACGTATTTTAGGGATGGCACCGCAACTCTCCACGAGTTTTTATATGGGCCGGACGTTCAAGCACAGACAGTAAACACAGCATATTTGCATGGCCGCTGTGAGTTTCTGTTAGCTATAAGTCCATTGGTTAAATTCAGTTTTGTTGTTTTACTTCGGCATCACCGTTAATCTTTTAATTACTATCACCAGCTAAAAAAAACTGCTGCGTACATTAAATTATTGCCCGAAAAATCTCAATGAAATGATTTATAAACGTTTTACTAAAAACCTCTACGAGTATGTGCATATCTAAAATCTAAATCTTAATAAAAACGTAATACTAAGTTCCAACTATTCATTTTGTATGAGTGAAATTGACACTGATGTGGCTTTTTGGGTGCAGATGTATTACTACCTAAACAGCCTTAATTGGATTTTCAGCTCCATCTACAATTTATGTATGTACATATATATTATTATAATAATATTTAAATATAAGTCAAATAAGGATTTGTTTTGGTTAAAAATCATGGTAATAAGTTTTACAAAAAATAAATAAACGATTAGGAATTTTGCTGAAGCGATTCAAATAAAAGGTTTTACGGAGTTAAAAAATAATGTTAGGAAATTTAAAACAAATCAGGTTTGATCGAACCCTGTCCTTTTATATCTGCAGCAAGAAGTCCTTAATGATTAACGCGATGTTGGAAACTATGTCAGGAGATCACAAAACATTGTTAAAAGGACATTCTTCCCAATACCTAAAACTAAATGTTGGTGGCCAATTGTATTATACCACAATTGGAACACTGACAAAAAATAATGACACAATGTTGAGCGCAATGTTTAGTGGTAGAATGGAGGTTCTGACAGATTCAGAAGGTTTGTTCTTTAGTATTTATACATAAAATAATACAACGCAAGCGTTCTAGGATGGATTTTGATCGACCGCTGTGGAAATCATTTTGGTGTCATACTCAACTTTTTAAGGGATGGAACTGTGCCGTTGCCTGAAACCAACAAGGAAATTGCTGAATTGCTTGCCGAAGCCAAATATTACTGCATCACAGAACTGGCAATGTCCTGTGAACGGGCTCTATTTGCGCACCAAGAACCTAAGGCAATTTGTCGGATTCCACTGATAACGTCGCAAAAGGAAGAACAGCTTTTAATTAGTGTATCTTCAAAGCCTGCTGTTATTCTTGTGGTACAGCGACAAAATAACAAGTATTCGTACACAAGTACTTCAGATGACAACTTACTAAAAAACATTGAACTTTTTGATAAGCTATCCTTGCGATTTAATGAAAGAATTTTGTTTGTTAAAGACGTAATCGGTCCAAGTGAAATTTGCTGCTGGTCATTTTACGGTCATGGTAAAAAGGTAGCTGAAGTATGTTGCACATCGATAGTTTATGCAACTGATAGAAAGCACACTAAAGTTGAATTTCCGGAGGCCCGAATTTACGAAGAAACACTACAGGTCTTGCTTTATGAAAATCGCAATGCCCCCGATCAAGAGCTTATGCAAGCGACATCTTCAGTTCGAGTGGGAAGTACCAGTGGAACGAGTGTACATCAGTATACAAGCGATGAGGAGGAAGAGCGCACCGGGCTTGCGCGATTACGTTCCAATAAAAGAAATATTCCCTCCTAAGCTTAAATTTTATAAGTTAAAAAAAAAGATATCTTGATTATCAATAAAGATTTACATCAAATAAGGGTAGGATTGATATTGGTATTACAAATTTACTACATCCTTAATTATAAAGGAATAGGGGACATTGCAGTCGCTGAGGATTACATAAACAAACATACATATGTATAATAGATTACAGGATGCTTTCCCGGCCCTATTAAGTATCCAGAGTAAAATTATTAATGTCCCAGTTATTTATGTCGAATTAATGACCCGTCAATTGATTAAGGATAAAGCTAAGAAGAACAAATAAACGAATAAAACGAGTATAGTTTTTTGATCTTTATTCTTTTGATCTCAACATGTGTTCCCTTTGTTTATATAAATTTGGGAGGGAGATTGCCGGCTTGGGATATTGATTGTATCAATGATTTCAGATTGGGATCGCCAATTAACGAAAGCCACCTAACGCCTACAAGGTATATTATTATTCATAATAGATAAGTGAATATGTCACTATACAGATTTTTGATCAGGATCGGCAGATAGTTAGATTCTATACAATGGTAAGGAAGGTAATTAAAGCGGATTCTGGCAGAGTTTATTGGCTTATTAAACTGTCCATTAGCCATTATAAACACGGTTCCCGCACTTCCGAAATCCATTATCTGTCACCAGTGTCACACCACAATACCTTCATCAAAGCCGCGCAAGTATATGTTCTTTCTCTAGCACAAATATCATAGTTAAATGATTGTGTTGTGATGTGCTCAAAGAAATAATAAAATGCAATGATCGCGTCATGATTAGTTTTCCGATCCGCCATCCCTTAATCGAGAATATTAAAATGTATTTCTGACAGAAATGGGAACGTCTTGTCATAACAAGTTCTTACCTTGTGAAAAAAAATTGTGTAGATAAATGTTTTAAAAATCAGATCAAAAAATTTCATATAAAAATCTGAAAATTTATAACATACAGGCCGTTACATATACAGTGGGTCGCAGCTTATTTCGTGCAGCTACCAAAAAAAATTTTGAGTCGTTATTCCTGTTAAACTAAAACCGATATTCAAAAAATTTAAACGCAGTTTCTTAAAAGGGAATATTAACATGCTAATTAAACTAAAACGATTTTCAAAATCATAAAAACAACAAACTTTTGTAATAAAAACTAAAAATTCAGCCTTTTTTCATGCCGCAGCTTATTTCGTGGAGCAGATTCTACTTAACTTATTATTTGTAATTTAACTAATAACTAATATTTTGTATGTCATATTTTCTGGTTCAGGACAGCTTTGAGATGATTTCTCATGGAAGACACGAACTTTTTTGTGAATTCCACTGCGATTCTTGGCCATTCTTCCATAGGAACAGTATTCCGATCGTTTTGGGTCGAAACCTTCCTCTTCCTTACAGAGATGTTCAATATTTCCCATAATATTTTTGATCACTAATAAATCTATATACTGTACTGGAGTTATATCGACATCTGCGCAGCTACTGATAACCCAGGACTTCACTTTTCCTTCTGAATGCAGCGGATCGTTGACCTGTTAAAATCGAAGAAGAATGGAAGAATGGCCAATCCAGTGGAAACCCAAAAAAAAAATTAGTTTCGATCGCATTATCTAAGAAGTAGAAAGAATAAAGTAACGATGCATAAGAAGCAGAATAAAAAAAAGAAGAAACGCTGTAGTCGGGTGCCGCGACTATAAGATACCCGTTACTGTTTAACACAATTTTAATATATTTATTTGCTAGTGGAAATTTCCAAGCGCCACCTATTGTCGGAGAAAGCATGTTGAGTAACTGATAGTGACGTCACTGCCCATGTGAGGCCTTATAACTTAAATAACTTAATAACTTCATAAATGGCGAAATAATGTTCCGATTTGAAAGTTCTTTGGTAAAGTGATAGATATTGACAGAAATAAGTTATACAAGGTCAAACGAAGGCATTCATAATAATATTATAAGCGCCACAGTTTTCCGCGGTTTGTGGGCTTTGAAGTGGGCGTGGCTGGATGAAAACTCGTGGGAGATTGCAGTGGCATTTTTTAAATACGTATTCTTAATCAAAACTTTGTACCTCTTATAGTTTTCGAGATATTTGCGTTTTCGGTTTTCCGATAATCATAAAAACCTACAAGCTTAATCCGAACTTTCTATCTTTTAAAATTACCGAGATAGCAGGTTTTCTAGAAAATGAGAAAATGGGTCTTTTGAGCCTTGTGGACGTATGGGTGGGTGTGGCCGAATAGTAGTACCACTATAAGATGCACTGGCATCTAAAGATTATACATTTCCCTTTCTAGCTCTAATAGTTCCTGAGATTTCAGCGATTTTTGGGCGTTAAAGTGGGCGTTGCAGGATGCTGTAATAAACTTGCGCTGCGTAGGGACCTCTAGAAGGGATTAATAAAACGATTATATATATATACATACATAAATATTATATATCTTTGCTTACATGAGGAAGTTTATAATCGATTAATCATATTTTTATCAAAGAATCTAAGTATTATATACAAGCTTTTAAAACTAAGGGACAAATTTTATCATAGCGACACAGAGAGATGTCTATAACTTAGGATGCTTTAGACAGGGTAATTATAGAACACCCAGAGTTGGTTGACAGAAGTAGGCATATTCCTCAAGTAAAAGTTGAATCTGTAACCGACCGCAACGAAATACTGGCAGCATAGATATTACTAATCAGGCTAATGAGTAGCCAATGTTTAGGACTAGAAAAATTGTTGGCTAATAAAAAGACCGAGATTTTGAGAAGCTATAAGTTTGTTAACAAAAATACACACATAAGAAAAGAAACGCTCGAAAAACATTTGGGGGAAATTATCATTAACGCCAAAAAAGTAAGAAGAGCGATAGAAATATGTCGAGAATCAGTATCTACTTGTCCTGAAAGTCAAGTAATACTTATTCATAATTAGATTATATCTATTGTAAGAAAAGCTCTCCAAAAGTATGAGGTTGTTTTACATATACCAGAGAACTTTAAAGAATCAATAGAGGCAAATATAACAATTGCCTACACAGACGTCCACGATAATTCGTTGGCTGATATTTTTGAGGAAGATATCAGTGAAGATTTCTTAGGGTTCGAAAGCCCACTAGAATTCAGTAAAACAGAAGTAAAGGTGGATACAGAAAACATTAACAACATAGTTGAGGACTTGGAAGAGGCAACCCATGTCCAATTCTTAAAAACTGCAGCTTCACTCATTCCTGAGTTGGGCTACAAAGCAGAAAATCTACGAAGCTTCCTAGATGCCTTGGAGCTTGTAGATGGAATAAAAGAATCATATGAAAACACAGCAGTCCTAATAAAGACAAAATTAAAAGGACATGCTCGCAACCTCATTGGAGAGGAAAACACAATAGAAACAATTGTGGAGGTAGAAGATCTGACCAGAGCATTACAAGGGGCTTATGTAAACGATGGCTAACCACTAGAATTAGCATCTAAATATAATACCCAAAGTGCTGTGAAGGCAATGACAACAAACTGCTCAATTGATAAGGTAAAACTTATCATGCAAGCGGGAACGTTCACAAATATGAAGGAATCCGTAATAAAATTTGTCAATAGTTGCACCGATGCAACAGGGCAATCGAACGCCGTATTATTTTAAAATAATCGGTATAAACAAAACAATTACCGAGGAAATAACATATATCGGGGCAGAGGAAACCGTGGTGGTGGCCGTGGCAATAACAATAACCGTGGCTATTATCACAACACACCGCAAGGAACCCACAGCTCCTCGAACCGCGGAAATAAATATAATTAAAGTGTTAGGGTCACACAGGAAAACAAGGAGGACCCCTTGACGGTAGAAGAGGAAGAATAACAGTAAGAATCTATAATATCAACATTAGCCTCAGTCTTTTCATAAAAATATAAAATTAAAAAAAAAACAAAAATTTAACACTGTTAGTAGATACGGGAGCCGAGATTTCATTACTCAAACAATGTAATCAAGATTACCCCGAATTAGACAGTTCTAAAATTTCAAATATAACGGGAATAGGACAAGGTTCTATAAAATCCTTGGGTTTAGCGTTAGTGGAGCTTAAAACAAAAAATGTCATTATACCTTCAATGACTTTCAAATAGTCCCACCTGATTTTCCGATTCCATGCGATGGCATTCTGGGAATAGACTTCATTAAAGGATTCAACTGTATCTTCGATTTTCAAGACTCACAAGGTTCTTTAGTATTAAGACCTAATAACCTGACTTTTCCAATACAAATCGTAATGCACAATTCGGTTTCCGAAAATACTCTCTTACTACCATGTGCAGAAGAAGTAATTAGAACAGTAAAATTAACTCAAAAGAACCGTCCGTTTTTATTCCGAGCCCAGAACCATTTAAAGGTGTGCTGGTTCCAAGCACATTGGTTAACACGAGCAACAGTCCGATTTCTAAATACAAACTCTGAAACAATTAGTTTAAATGTTAATACAATAAAATTCGAGTCGTTAGAAAACTATGATATACAAAAGCCCAAGGAACTCAACCCCAAGTACAGTAATAATAGAACATAAGAAGTATTAAAAAGTTTTCCCTCTCAAACAAAATTGTCAGAACTGTGTACAACCTATAGCGATATATTCGGCCTTGAATCGGAACCGATATCAGCTAACAATTTTTATAAACAACAGCTTTGCTTAAGCGATAAAACACCAGTATATATAAAAAATTATGAAATGTAGAAAGTGAAAAGCCAGAAATAAACAAACAGGTTGACAAATTAATAAGGGATGGTATAGTCGAACCATCAATTTCAGAATATAACAGTCCAATATTGTTGGTTCCCAAAAAATGTCTACCAAATTCAACAGAAAAACGATGGAGACTAGTGGTTGACTATAGACAAATAAACAAAAAATTATTATACCCCAAGATATATTGGATCAGTTAGGACGGGCTAAAAATTTTTATTACTTGGACCTTATGTCCGGATTTCACCAAAAAGAGTTGTCAGAAAAGTCCAGAAACCTTACATCATTCTCTACAAATAAAGGTTCATTTCGCTATACGCGATTGCCATATGGACTGAAAGTGGCACCAAATTCATTCATGAGAATGATGCATTTTCCGGTCTAGAACCACCACATGCGTTCCTATACATATGCATATACATATCCATTTCTATATGGACGACTTAGTAGTCATAGGATGCTCCGAACAACATATGTTCAACAATTTAACAAAAGTATTTCAGTTATGCCGCAAATTTAACCTAAAACTTCATCCAGAAAAATGTTCATTCTTTATGCACGAAGTTACCTATCTGGG